ACTCCTGATAGTATAAATGACTTAGCGCCACCCATCTAGCAGAACATATCTTCCTCCCACTGTTCTAGTAGAGTTTTCTCTAAGCAGTTGGAGTGGGAGGATATGGCTCTGTCCTCACTGATCCTTATTAATCAAAACTGAGAACAGTAACTTTGTTTCCATTCATTGTTATCTTCACCTCCCTTCCTGCTTCCAATACCACTCAAAGGCAACACGGGCCAAGTTCACAGACAGTGTTCTAACAGGCGGCTCCACACAGGTCACATAATTCAGATTGAATGAGTCATGACCCTGAAAGCCCGCAGTGAGAACATGTCAGCTCACTAAATGTGCTCTAAAGGCAAATTCATGTGATTCTGTAGCTTAGCAGAAAGGATAAAGTGCTTCAATCTTAAAAAAAAAAAAAAAAGAATAAGTGAGTGAATGGCAGTAGGATTTTCAAAGAGTCAATATAGACACTCTTTAGAAGCATCTTGCAATGACCCGAGCAACAAAACAAGCCATAGCTACTAGGGAACATGGAGCAAAGGGAAGATTTTTATTTAAAATGGAGATATTCTAGCATATTTTATGTTTAAGAGGATACTTCAATAGAGAATAATAACTTGGTGTCTCCTGGGAAATAGGCCTGGATTTCTGAAGTCTAACAGATGAGGAGTAAGTTCCATACCAGGAAGACCACTCTTGGAATCAGAGGGAAGGTTCTAGAGAATATAGACAGAAATGCAAGATTCAAGCGTGGTAGAATTTGATGGTAAAAGGGTATGGTAGTTCTGTCAATAGGGTTTATTTTTCTCTGTGAAATAAGTAGGTCATTTAATTAATAGGACAAGGAATATTATATGTTCAAGTGGAGAGAATGAAACTATTGTCGTAAAGACTGGGAAAGTGACTCCACTGGGAAGCCTTAGACGATAGCAGGACTGATACAAGAGCTTTGCCCATTTGAGGTCTGAGATTAGTCAGGTATGTGTTTCCCTCCACCATGTACTTTTCTTGTTCTTCACAGAATGTTAGGCATTCTTACTACCTCATTGTACAGACAAAGAAACTAAAACAGTGAAGTGATATACTTTGCCCAAGTTTACACAGGAAGGGTAAGCTGGCTATTCCTGCCACCCTGGCCCCCAGCACTGAGATACAGCAGTTCAGGTCTCCCCAAGTCAGCAGACTTCAGGAGGCATCAGAGCACAGAGCAGAGGGAAAGAGCTTTGAAATCCCAGCTACTTGTCTATTTCCCATAGCTCAATAGTTCAAGTTGGTCACTTTTGTATGTACTTCATAATTTAAATTAAGACAAGGAACTAACTGCAGCATATTTTTTAAAACAAAAAAACACTTGTATTTAAAATAATGATATCTTATTTCTCTGCCTTTATTGGGAAGGAGAAAAATTTTCCTTAATAAACATCCCGAAACAGGATTTTATAACCTTTCTGTGGCAATATTTCCTAAAATGTTTTCTGAAGGTATATTATAACATGTCTCAAAAAGATTATCCTTTGAGGCTCTAATACTATGGAAAATATTATGACATTCTCCATTCACTTGAGATTCTTAGAATTTTTAATAGCCCTACATGGTGTTAATATACTTTTGACTATGCATGAAATGTTTCCAGGACATTGCTAATGATTTAGCTGCCTTCTTCCACATACCAAACAATTAATGTTTAGTTTAAATTCCAGCAACTGCCTTCTTTCTTCCTGTTCCCAATTCATTGCTATAACTTTAAAAGAACTGGAAAATAATGCATGAGCTTACATATAGGAGTTATGAAGCAGCCAGAGATTATAAAAGAAATAAATATGCTTTTAGTAACCCCCAAATAAAATTATCTGTTTAATCTCCTAACTTGATGACTGATGCTTCCAGAAGTCTGATCTGGGTATTTGTATAATAGATTTACCACATTAAACAAATGTCACCTGTTTGAAGACCATAAATGTCTTACTTTTAAGAAACTGGAAAGAATGATTTGTAAAATTGAAAACCTTCTTTCTCCTAATCCAGGTTAGTCCATGTTCTCCTGCCCAGTTCAGTAGAATCAAGACAGTGTGCATAAAGACATAGAAGCCTGTGGGAGATGGGTTTTATGACCTTTGACACCTTCTCCCTGACTCCCATTGTCCCCCATAGTGGCTCTATCATTTTATAGGCTCAGAGTTGCTGAAGAAAAAGTCCCTTGAAGTAAATCACAACTAAGAGTTTAGAGGAAGAATTTACCTGACAAGAGACACTCGGTTCTCTTTACAGTACCATTGCATGGAAGTAGAATGTGACCGGTCTGTATAATTATTTTTTTTCTAGTAGCCACAATTTTTAAAGTAAAAAGAAACAGGTGAAATTTGTTTTAGTAATATAATTTATTCTGCCAATGTTTCTTGCATATAAAAACCCCTGAAGGGCTGGGATTGTGGCTCAGTGGCAAAGTGCTTGCCTTGCACATATGAGGCACTGGGTCCCATCCTCAGCACCACATAAAAATAAATACACAAAATAAAAATATTGTGTCCATGTATAACTAAAACAATTTTTAAAAGCATTTTCAATAAGATAGTTCACATTCTTTTTTCATATTAAGCCCATCTCAGTCAAGCCAAGCCATGATTCAAGCCCAGATTTTAAAATTGCTGGACATGTGACAGAGTCACTCCTTTGGGCAGAGTTATTCTCAATCTTGAAATGTACTTCTTTTTGATAGGATAAAATTGTGTCTTGGATTTGATTCTGATTGATACTATCATTGATGATACATTTTTTGTTAGTTAACTGTTTAAATAACACACTCTTCCTTTTCCAAAGAGTTTCTCATGAATTGTCTTGTCTTTGTGATTCTGCATAAGCTTCACTCTTGTTACATTTCTTAATATCACCAGTCTTTATTTTTATTGTGGATCAAAGGCTAGCCTTCCAGCTCTCTCCACCTATCTGAGCTTCACACTTCATCCACAGAGTGGTATTTTTCTGTTGTTTTGTTGTTGTTGTTGTTGTTGTTTGATTATTTGTTTTTATTTATTTTGTTTGTTTGTTTGTTTGAGACAGGATCTCACCACATTGCAGCGGCTGGCCTTGAACTTGCAATCTTCCTGCCATGGCCTCCCCAGTAGCTGGGATTACAGGCATGCACCACTGCACCCAGCCATAGAGTAGAATTTCTAAAAAGTAATTAATCATTGCCCAATTACTTAAGGATTATAGAGAAAATATGAAGCCCTTCATGATTTGACCTCTGTCTACCTTGTTTCCTTTCCTTCCACTTTCACCTTTTATACTTCATTCTAAAATTTGCAGATTTCATGAGTTCTCTGAATACAACATGCAGTTTTAGACGTCACGCCTTAAAACATGTTGCTCCTTCTACCTGAAATTATCTTTCCCTTCACCTACCAGGTGAATTACTGCTCACAGCTGAACCTCAACTTTTAGTCCAGTACAATCTGAATAAATTTATTGACCTGACACTAGCTGCTTAATAGAGTGTATTTTCTTATCCTGTGTCACCATCTTTGTGTCCTGTGACACAAAGCACAGGATCTAACAGTAAAATACATGAGACTTTTTTTTATTGTCAATTTAACCTAAATGAAATAAGATCTTTAAGTAGATTCATTAATTATTAACAGGAAGAAATGCTAAAATGAAACAATAATCATTCCTCTTCTTTTTTAATATTAAAATATTGTAGAATTCTGTTTTCACTGTTTTTAATGTCAAGATTGAAAGACTGTTAGTATTTTTTTTGTATTTTAATATGCCTCATGTATGACTCATGTCCCCTCAATCAACCTACCCACAATACAACTGAAAGTAAGTACTTGATGGAAATAGTTTAAAACACAAACAAAATTCTTTTATTAGAAAAGCTAACATGTCTCAAAAACCCTACTTCACATTCTGGCAAGTTTTGATAAAATTACACTCACCCTATGCCATTTATCTCAAGATATAAACCAAGATTTTAACAAAATATCAAAATAAAGTATTCAGCTTATTCCACACAAATATTCTAGTTTAATATTCATATGAAACAAACAGAAATAAAATTTTCTGATAACAAGAATCATCTTTCCTGAGATAGCACAGTTACTTGCTGTATAAACAATTACTATCAGACATAAGAGTATCTTTTGTTTTAAGCATTAGGTACCAGCGTGAGAATATTTCTTAAGGCTTGTAAAAAATCTAGTTTTACAGCTTCCCAGGAGATCCAACATCTCTTGAGAAGAAAGAAATAACATAATGTAATCAAAAGAAGCTCTTCTTCCCTCTGTCCAGATGTCCCAGTCAATAAAAATGGATCCTAGGAAATTCCACTAATCCTGGAACACTGTCCATAAAAGACAGGGGTGGAGCTCCACATCCCCCTTCCTGTTTCTTGTGGTCCTCTTGGGGTAGGAAAATAAAAGCCAATTGAGACTATTTATGGGGGAAAAAAAGAACAATGAAAGAGGGGAATTGGATGTAAGAATAGAGGCAGGAAGAAAAGAGAAAATAGATAGCTAATAGCACTCCTCAATTAGACTCCATCTAGTACACACTAGTCCTTGAATTGCTTTGGCTCATGTAAAGGTTCAGGACTAGAGAAGCACAGTTTGTTCCAAGTCGTGAGTTTCTTTCTAAGTCATATCCAGTGTTTGGATGCCAGATCGTGTTTACCAAGCACCTGAGCAAATACGTTGACTGCCAGTGATCTTTTCTGTTTTCTAAAATTGAGTTTCTCAACACAGAGCTTTGCTTTTTAAGTAAATCTTCATTATGCAGAAAGGGTATGTGAGTGAAAGGGTTCTATGCAGGATCTAAAAACATTGCACTTCCTTTGTTATGGTTTTGAAATTCCCCTTTGAGTCACTTAGTTGCTCAATGCTGAAGGGTACTTAAATATAATTACTGTGATAGTAAACAGACTATCCAGCCAGATGCATCGGCAAAACATAGCCTTCTTTTTATAACTACATGTACAGGTTTATTTTAATTGTTTGATTTGGGTTTTTCCACAGCTATTAATATTACACAGCCCAGCTTCAGTGGCACGGATGCCTTTGGATACACTTCATTCCTGGCTTATTCACGGGTTTCAGACATCAGCTTCAGTTATGAATTCCACTTGAAGTTTCAACTGGCAAACAACCACTCAGCACTGCAAAACAATTTGATATTTTATACTGGACAAAAAGGCCATGGTAAGATTAAGTGACCTCTGTAGGACTTGCCTCTCTCCTTGGAGAATACTTTAAATATTCTTCAGGGACACTCTCATTGGCCATGGATGAAGACATTTGCCTAGCTGCAGCCTCCTCCTGTTTTCTAGCATGTTTCTTATAGTCTGAAGCATTCAGTGGTTCTCTGACCCTTTCTGAATTCCTGGTTCACACTAGAGCCAAACATGAAGACAGAGGCAGTGACCAAATCACAGGGGAAGTAAGTTTATTGACTTGTTCTTTTATCTGTTTTGATTTCCATATATGAGGAGAGAAGGGAAGTTCTCAGAAAGAACATGGCTTTGCAGCATGTTGTGAAAAGAGAATGGGTTGAATGTCCTCAGAGAAAACCTTTACCAATGAAAGGGACAAGAAATTAAGAAAGCACTTGACCTATCACAAAGTATTCCAGTGCCTTACCATTGGTGGGAAATCAACTTAGAAGTTAAATTTGTCTTTCTTAAGTAGAAAACAGTTTTACGTGTGTTAGGTCAAGGAAATTCACATTTGTTTTATTTTCAAGTCTGCAACTAACAGTAAAGCAATTAATCACTTACCTTCTCAGATGTTCTCATCTGTGAAATCAACATATTATACAAAAAAGAACTTTCAACCATTAGTGATTCTATTTTACTAGGGAAAATAATACAGTCTGATTTTGATTTGTTTTTAACTCACTATCTCCTGATACCAAATACGCTTTTCTGGATTAGCACATGTTTGAAAAGAGCCAAATTCTCAGTGTAGGTTATCAGCTCCCACCACATCTGAGGATGCAGAACACTTTCCCAATGTTATCCTGAACCCTAATGAGCCCTCTTAACTGGTTTCCTGCCTGCAGTGCGTTCTCCACATTGTAGTAGGAATTGCCTCCTAAAAAGTTTATGAGATTATGTTGGAATCCTGTTTAAAACACACCTGTGGCATTTCACTATGCTTAGAATAAAATCCAAGACTCCCTACCATATTCTCAAAGGGCCTTTATGAGCAGACCCTGGTCAGGTTCTCAGAATACAGCCAGGCTACTTGCATCATCTCTCTGCTCCCCACTACATGTCCTCTTCCAGTGCCTTGACCATCTAATGCCTTCCTGCCTTAGAGGCTTCCTGCCAGCTATTTGCTCTGTCTTGACAGTGGGCTCCACAGCCTGGCAGTGCAAACCTGTATCCAGTCTCCACTACTTATAAATTATGTCAATTGGTTTGATGTCCTAGTGCCTCAGTTTTCTGACCTGCTACTCAGGTAAAATAAAATTAATTCCCTAATAGAATTGAGAATGGAGTTGTGGCTCAGTGTAGAGCGCTCGCCTAGCATGTGCAAGGCCCGAGGTTCCATCCTCAGCACCACATATAAATAAAGGTATTCTGTGCAACTACAACTAAAAAATAAATAAACATTTAAAAAAAGAATTGAGAAGATTAGCAGATTAATACATGAGAAGCAATTAAAATAATATTGGACACAAAAGACACAGCAGCTTGACTTTTCTCTGGAAGGTTTTCACCATCCATATTACAAAATAGTCCTTATCCTACACGTCAAAGTTATTTCCTATTTCCTACCTCAGCTTTTTACTTGTTTCTTTCATAAATCTCATCTCAATTTGTATTTCTTTTGTTATTTTTTATATAGTTGTTTCTTATCTTCACTACCAGAATGGGAGTTCCATATAAATAGAGACTAAGTCAGTCTTACACAACTTCATATCCCCACACTTCAGCACAATACCTGGAACATAATTCATATTGAACAAAAGAATCAAAGAAACACAATAAGAACAAATAAAATTGAATGATATATAAGTCAACAGCACAGTTGCACAAAGGCTCCCAAAGAAAAGCCATTCTTGGGGGCTTCCAGTTCAAATAACATGTCCTCCATTAGGATTTCCTGAATGGCTGTGGTCCTCTCACCCCTCTGGTGAAGCCTTACTTCTTCTGAACATAGTTTGTCCTGTATTTAGTGCATGAACCCTTTGTAACAGGCTACAAAGTTATAAATTTCTTTCCTCATTTATACAAAATATATCCCAGCTAGGACTATATCACCCACAAAAACTCTTTGGTGCGATTTTAACAAGTATCTATTTAATGACTGCCAGGAGACAGGAAGTAGAGAAAGAAAGAATTCCTACCTTTAACCCTTTTACTCTACACGCCCTTCATTATATATGTATTAGCGGTGTCCTTCCTAGTAGCTAAAAACTATCAAATAAAAAATTCAGATAGGGATCCAACATGGCGGCGAGAGGGGAGGCAGCGCTTTCAGTACCTCCTCAACAAAGGGGTCAGAGAGACGCATGGATACGCTTAGATATGACCTGCTGAGAAACTCCTAGCAAAATTCCACTAAAGAGAGACCGGCCGGGAATTGGAAGGATTTTTTGGAGGTGACAGTCTGCGCTAGACGAGTGAATCTCCGCCACGCAGCGCAGAGGTCCAGACCCGCCAGCCGCTGCCCGCGCGACTCGGCGACTGTCGGCTGCCTGCACGCGGCCCCACGTCAGGGCGGATAGCCTCCGAGGCGCAGCGCAGCAGGAGCGGTGCAGGGACTCTAGGAAGAGGTCTCTCGCCAAGCCTTCATGAAATAGCAAACCGGGAGCTGAAACCAACCAGAGACAGACCAGTCCCACCCCTCCCTTCGGACACTCTGGCAAGGAGCCTGGGGCCTGCCATAGCAGAGTGGTGACATCACCAGAGTTCCGCCGACAGAATTCCTTCCCAGCGGAATCCACATTAGCAGGTGTGTGACTCCCACCCCCTCCAGATACAAGCAGCCAGGAAACCACCGGAGGCGTGTCTGTAGGGAAGCAGAGGGGATTCCAGATCCCCACCTCCCCTTAACACCAGCGGCGACACCCAAGATCTTAGCCGCCAGTTTCTGGGGGCGTGCCCACCAAAGGGGTCCTGAAAAATTAAACTGTTGGTTCCCAGATCACCCCACCACAGCACTGGGGCTTAATTGAATGACAGAGAGGGTGTTCATCGTTCGGGATATAGGACACGCGGTGGGGCTGCAAGTGTAATCAGATCCTTGGGGAACCGCCTCTGGTGAACAGGACCTGGCTGGCTGGCTGGGAGGAGGAACAGGGGGAGGGGCCGGATAAGTGAAAGGGCTCTGGACTAACAGGATTGAGAGACTCCCAGGAGCCACCGTACAGGGATTTCTGTCAGCACATAGAGGGCAGAAGCTCAGCTCAGAGGGCACAGCTCCGCCTATTGGAAGAGAAGAAAATGGGATTCAGCCATAGAACAGGGGATGCCAGCATGGCAGAGATCTGATGTCATCGGAGAGCGGCCGAGGAGAAAACTTCATCGGTGCCAGCGGCGACGGAAACAGTTGGTCCCCTGGTAGGGAGGGTGAGTCACAGATACCCGAGTCTCTCTCGCTTTGTCGTCGAGCCAGAGGCGAGGAGAGGGGCCGCCGCCCACGCCCGCAAGGTAGGAAGACCTGCGACCAACCTGCAGATCAGGCCCAGCGGTCTGCAGGCGTGGTAAGAGGGGCAGGGCAGAGCCACCGCCCGCGCTGGCAAGGTAAGCAGACCTGCGACAGACCTGTGGATCAGGCCCAGCGGCCTGCCAGCGTGGTACACACTTCACCCCAACTGGAGTAGGGGCAGAGCAGAGCCTTAGCCCGCGCCCAGATCAGGCCCAGCGGCTCGCCTGTGTGGTGGTCAAGTGACCCCAATTGGAGTGGGGGCGGAGCGGAACTGACACCCTTGCCCACAAGGTGGGCAGACCTGCGACCAACCTGCAGATCAGGCCTAGCGGTCCCCGGGCGTGGTAGGAGGGGCAGGGCAGAGCCTTCGCCCCCACCTGCAAGGTAGGCAGACCTGCGACAGAACAGCGGATCAGGCCCAGGGGTCCGCGGGCGTGGTAGACACCTCACACCAATTGGAGGAGGGGCAGAGCAGAGCCCCTGCCCGCACCTGCAAGGGAGAATTTTCAACTATACAAGAGCAACATAAATATATAGGGGGGGGAAAAATTTCAAAAACACAACAGTTTCACCAAGAAGAAAGAAACGCAAGCAGTATGAAAAGACAAGGAAAGAAAGGACTACAAGCAATGCAGGTCAGCTCAACTTTAGAAGAGGTAACAGCTGCAGCAGATGGAATGTCAGATAAAGAATTCAGGATATATATGCTTCAGATGATCTGGAGTATCAAGGAAGAAATTAGACAGCAAAATCAGACAATGAAAGATCACTTCGACAAGGAATTACACAAACAAATCCAGGAAGCAAAGGATCAACTATACAGGGAGATAGAGGTTATAAAAAACAAACAAACAGAAATCCTAGAAATGCAGGAAGCAATAAACCAACTTAAAAACTCAATTGAGAGTACTACCAGCAGAGTAGAACACTTAGAAGATAGAACATCAGACAATGAAGACAAAGTATTTCAACTTGAAAAGAACATAGACAGCTCAGCAAGACTGTTAAGAAACCATGAGCAGAACATCCAAGAAATATGGGATAACATTAAGAGACCAAACTTAAGAGTCATTGGGATACAGGAAGGTATAGAACTCCATACCAAAGGAATGAGCAATTTATTCAATGAAATAATACGAGAAAACTTCCCAGACTTGAAGAATGAGACAGAATCCCAAATTCTAGAAGCCTACAGGACGCCGAATGTGCAAAATTATAAGAGATCCACACCTAGACACATTATAATGAAGATGCCCAACATACAGAATAAGGAGAGAATTTTAAAAGCTACAAGAGAAAGGAAGCAGATTACATTTAGGGGCAAGCCAATCAGGATAACAGCTGATCTTTCAACACAGACTCTGAAAGCTAGAAGATCCTGGAATAACATATTTCAAACACTGAAAGAAAATGGGTTCCAACCAAGAATTGTGTATCCAGCGAAATTAAGCTTCAGGATGGAAGATGAAATTAAAACCTTCCACGACAAACAAAAGTTAAAAGAATATGCAGCTAGAAAACCATCTCTTCAAAACATCCTCAGC